GATAAAATGTTGGTAGCAGAGCCTAATAGATTTTCAAGGAGATTGAGCAGGAGCCACGGAAAGGTAGCAGTGAGGCATGGAAAGCAAAAGTACACCAGGCCTCGTTTAATTATCTTTTTCACACTGCATTAATCATCACAAAAACAGGATTATGCCTATTTTTACATCAGTGTTGGAGGGTAATACAACTGTCATTTTGTGCACTGCCTGTCATTAGCAACTGTTAAATTAAAGGTTTGAAAAGTAAAATGATGAAGTCAGACTGCTCCCTTGACCTATTTTTCACCAAGAACTTTTCCCCCTTTGACCTCTGAATCTGAATTCCCTTATCAAATCATCTTGGTTTCCCCAGCCCCCACAGCCACCCTGGTATTTGTTGTTCCCATGACCTCTTTCTTCAGTTCTCTGTTTTTTTTTTGTGGTGGTTTGCAGTAATTTTATTTTCCTTCCTACAGCACCCCTAACTCCTTTACTGCAGAAATCTTCCTCCTTCTCCAGTTGCTCTTCCAGGATCTCTGCTGGTGCCTCCAGTGACCACGACCAAAGCCTCCATCCCTCTCTCGTGTCTTCTCCCTGTTAATTTCTCTATTCTTTGTAGGTGTAAAAATTACCTATTGTGCACATTCCCACTTGTCTCTCTGCTTCYCTTCCTATTTTTCTCTCTAACCTCCTGACTCTCCTCCTCCTCCTCTATCTCTCTTTTCCTCCTTTTTGTCTTCACCCTTGAAATAATTTAAATCACTCATTTTTTTTTCCTCCATTCAGATGCAGCCACGATCTGGTGTTTCTAAAAAAGGCACAGAAATTTGGTTACCTCCATGCTCAGTCTGGTTTAATGTTGTGGGATCCTTCCTCACCCCCACAAGGGCAATAAATGAGTTATGAAGTTAAATATACCTGTTACTACACTTGCATAATTATTCTTCCTACAYTCTGAGAGGCAGAGGTTTTGTGTTAAATTTAACTGCAGCAATTGTCTCAATGATATCTCAGACTGACTGTTGCAGCAAAAAAAAAAAAAAGCAGCTTTTGGTGTTGTTAAAAGACTGACCTTACACTTCACCGGGAATTCCCTTGGTCTAAATTTATGGGACAGGGCGGAAAAAAAAAAAAAAAGTTCATGATGTCCTCTGGGGTGGAATTTATCCAGAGCTTTTCCACTCCTTAAACTCCTGTATCAGTACAAAGYCTGGCATGGAGCTCACCTGCACACACCTGTGCTTGCTCTGTATCAGCTCTGCCTCGGGGGCACAGAGGTGTGAGAATTGCAAAGTTAGGCAAAATTCCAAGCCCATGTGTAAGAGGCTGGGTTTTTTATGGTAGGACATAAGTCTGAGATCCAGACTAAGACAATTTCCAGTGATTTAAGGGGAYGAAATGAATCAGATCAGTCACAGCTCCGGTTTGGGAGGAATGTGCAGGAGTATATCTTCCCACATTACCATCCCCTGACTGTGATCAGTCTTTATCACCCAAACCTCGACCCGAACAATGGACAATCGACTGCAGCTGTTTCTACTTTACTAATTTGATCTACCTAAGGAAACCACTCTTGCAGGAACTCTAAAGATGAAAAATAGCACCAATTATATTCTCTAATACAATTGATTTCTTAGYACCCGTGTGGACGGTTCTGATTCTGTACAATTCTACTGCCAACTCAGTAAGAAGGGATTTTATGACAGTCTAAAAACTTTCTTTCCAAAGACTGTGTAAGAGCACACTGCAAGGCTGTGTACATAGGCAGACACTTCAGAACTGAATAAGATTAACTACATTAAAATCAAAAATTTTACCTATTTTTACAACATTGGGCCGAATAAATGCATCAAAGCTTCTTTTTGGTTCTTGTCTTTTCCATTTTTGTGTGCTACCATGTGCAACCTTCACTGCAGTTGGCACTGAAGGCAAATCTGCTCTTCTGCCACAGCACCCACAGCAAAGGCATTGGGAGGAAGCTGAGACCTCTAACAAAACAAAACAAAACAAAAAAAAAAGCTGTGTATCTAATAGTACAGTGTATCTAAAACCCAGCATGCTTTAAGATTAACCAAAGCATTTTCCTTTTCATGCCATAGAAAATTCTCCTCTGCAGCTCACTGACACATTAGCATAGCCTCTGTTGGACACAGCTGCACAGGTATCTATTATAACATTAAAATTTGTAATTCTGGATTTTATAAAGGACGTAAACCTCTCTGTTCCATTCAGGAAACCAGGATCTGCTCATGCTCTGAAGAAATGCCTCTACAAGTATATCACTCCATCAGGTCGGCGCAGCAGGTATTTTTCACCTTGCTCCAGAGAAGGGTGGGAGGATCCAGCAACTGATGAAGACAGGATAGCAGACAAGATGGAGCTCTGGCTTTATTCCATATGATAATTTCAGCATAATTGTTTTGCCTTTAGGCTGCTGTATCTGATTAGAGCAGCCTCTCGCTGATCCAAGGTTAGGAGAATGCAAAACCACGGCAGTGTTGTGCTAAACACAATGCAGCCAGACCAAATAATCTGTGCCAGTTACCCATGCAGATCTGCAGATAGGGGCACACGTTGCAGTTTTGCATGAGGAACACAACACACAGTAGCTCCAAATTTGGGAGGAGGATTAATGATTTGTTCAGATAAAAGTTGTGGTCTCTACAGTAGGTTGGGWAATCATATAAATAAATGTAAAAGTCCATTTTAGAGCGGCCTTCTTTTAATACTAATTGGATGCAAAAATCTTATCACATTAGTAACCTTCATACCTTTATAATAAGTCTTTTATTGTATTAGCCAGCTTGGTTTTCACTAATATGATASGAAAGACTTGCTAATATATTGGGAAAGTCACTAACACTATTAATTTACTAGATAAATTACTTCTCTRTCTTGGAACTTTAAATGAAATGGAATTCACTAATCCTAATTGGTTTGCCTTCTACCAGAATTATTTCCCATTAGTTCAGCATGTTTTCTTTTTTCATACTTGAACAGAAGAGATTTCTTAAACTCAAAGCCTTGGGGTACAGTATATGGGTTTATTAATTATCAGGTATTCATTCAAGGGGGTTAATTAAGCAATAACTTTCCATTGACTGGAATATACAAAGGAATAAAAGGCTTGACTTGTCCTGCTGATTAAAGCACTGAGGCAGTTGTGCCATCATTTTGCTCCATTTGGTTGTGGGGGAATACAGATTTTTCCACTATTTAGCACAGAGCTCGGCGCCCCCATTCCTTATGTATAGAAACTTTGTGGGTTTGTTGATTTTTGTCCTTTTTTCCTCCCCCATCTCCGCCTGGCAGCGAGGGTTGTGACCTTCCCTGGYGGCTGTGGGTCTTGGTGCTGTTATCCATGTTTTTGTCGCATGGACATTGGAGAGCTGCAGTGCAGTAATGGGAGCTAAATCCCCTGGGAAGCAAGGAGCTGGTGCTGGAGGCAGCATCCTGCAGGGTGATGGGGCACCTCGCTGTGAGCACACCACAATTCTGCTCAGGGGTTGGTACTCGGCCATGGATTGGCTTCCAGGCAGGGTTTATGGTGTTGGCTTTGACGTCTGGGCCTAAGTCAAACCTTTTTGGAATCAGTGGAAGGACTCTCCATGTACTTGAGCTGATTTTGGATGYGGCCCAGCAGCCTTGGAAGGGTTTGTCTGTGAGAGAGACACCCTCTCTTCTCGGGGGACGTTGCCTCATCGTTTGAGAGGATCAGCACGTCAGCTGCAGCAGCTCCTTTTGGGAAAGGGAGTGAAGCTGCTCTCCAACGAGGGCTTCACATTCTTRCAAGGGTTGCTTCGGTCTCAGGCTCACCCTGCAGGAACTGGAATCAGCTGGCTTTTAGGACACACCTTTGAGAAGTRGATCCTTTGAGGACATAAACTAATATATTGGAATAGGCAGGAGAGAAAGGGGCTTTTCCTAGAGCTTCCCCCGGTCCCACTGAACTCCATTTCCTGCAGCAGCCTCCCCGGGGCCGTGACAATCTGTTTTAATTAGAGCTGTCTCTGAGCACCTCTTGATTATGCTGAGGAACGGGGCTCCACSGAGAATTCAGCTGACCCAAGCTGCGGCAGCGCAAAGGCCTCCCACGTACCCTCATTTGCACCATGAGAGGCTCCAGCCCGAGCCAGCTCTCTGCTGTCCGGGCTCTGGAATCCATTTACAGAGCTGTGGTTGTGTCTGTGCTGGTAAATGCACACATTTGCACCGGCTGGGGCTGGCTGGGGCTGCAATCGGCCCYGCATCACTGAGTCAGCGCATCCCGAAGCTGAGCACATCTCTGCCCGCGGGAGCACGGCTGCTCCCCACCACGCCCGCCAAGGTGGGGCCTCCGGGGACCAGCCAGGAGCCCACTSGTCCCAGGCAGCTAAAGAGAAGGAGGTGGAGCTGCAGGCTGGAAAAATGTGTGATGTTAGAGCGACTGCTGAGCTTATTCCCCAACAAGCGTTAGCTTGCTTTCCTGCTTGATTGTTTTGGCGATTGTGGTAGAGCGCAGATGTTATGCAATGGCAGGACTGGTAACACTGGCCACTGCCAACTGGAGTGCCAGGAGTCATTTATAAGCTTCCCCAGCAATGAGCTCTGTCAGCACATGCTTCAGCTCCTTGTTGCCATTGCAGGCACCGCCGCTGAGCCAAGCCATGCTGTGACTGGGGTGCCCCTTCCACCCCAATCTTCTGGGAGAGAAGCTTTTTGCCCCCATGAAACCACTCTGTCCTCACCATCCTGTTAACTCTTGCAGGTGAGCCCAGCAGCTCAGCTAGAAAAGCCAAAATTCAGGCATCACCTCACCAAGAGGTTTCGTTTTACCTTTTGGTAAAACGAAAAGATTTCGAAATCCCAACAAGAAAGGCTGTGAGATTGCCTTGAGTGTTTGAAATAATGTATGTATGCATACATCCAGGTATACCTGTATAACTGCACGAGCCAAACGACTTGCTTTGGCTTGCTTATCATTCTAAGACATAAAACAGGTAATCTAGCTTTATTTGACACCTACGATAATCATCCAAGAAAATGAGAGGCTCTGTAATGGAGGTCTATAAACAGGTCTTGCAGGTCATTCCCACCAGCTGGCTCTGCACACCAGGGCTCTATGGAAACGTGACTGTAAACACTGTGCTGGATCAAGAGCTTCCCTACTGACAGAAGAGACGAGCTCCAAAGCACTACAAAACCCAGTGAGTCTCAGCAAATGATTCACTCTCTTAATTAATTTTCCATTTTGGTTGKTGGAATGCCCTTAGGTGGCTGCAGTGGGCTCGAGTTTCTTCTTTCTGGGCAGAGTTCACCTTTGCACAAGGGCTGGGAAACTCTCCTCTCCCACCCTCCACGCATTGGGAAGCCCAGGCAGGATCCTTTAAGGGAATATTTTCCTCTACCCAAACCATTCTGAATCACTCTGATTTCTTAAGGCACAATCACATGCGGCTCAGAGGCTGATTTAATTGCCAGTGCTATGCTGGGAAGCCTTGTAGCCTTGCTTTGTTAAGCAATGCCCCTTTCCCAYCTCGTGGAAAGTATCCCCAAGTGCAGGGTTCTGTCCTGACAGCCCCCAGGACAAGCAGCCCTGTGTGTGAGCAGCCCTTCTTGCGAAAAATGTGGCATTGCCAGTGTCCTGTGCTGGGATTCTTCGCTCTGTGGGTGAACCCAGCACTCTCATAGCAAGGCAAAGCAGGGAGCAGAGGAAGATCTTCATTCCCGTGGTCTTCCACCTTGTACCAGGACAGCTGGAGCAAATTCATGCTGCAACACCAGCATTTGCAAAGTGTTTTTATGTCAGGTTTGTGTAGTTGTCCAAGTTCAGTAGAAACAGTTTGCTCACTTTCTTTTGGATATTAATAAATTAAAGCTCTGCTCCAGCCATGTCTTCCATGATTTACCACTGGGCACAGTTTACCCACTGAAATGCTTTACTCAGATCAGGAAAAAGGACAAAAGGACCAGAAAGAGCCCCCATGTCATGCCCCAGGCCATCCTGGGGAGGGGACAGGCAATCCTGAGCTTTATCTCTCCCAGGTCTTCCCCTAAAATATGCTGGGAGAGGTGACTAAGCCGGGGAGAGGAGCTGGAGCAACATGAGGCAGATGTGTAGGAGGTTGCCAGTGGGGCTGTTCCAGCCTATGCTGGGAGTCACCTTGACCCAGAGCTACAAAGGAGATGTAAAAATGAATTTTCTTCTTTCCATTTCTGCCCCACAAACTGCGCAGCATAAAATGTATCACTTTCTTATTTTCAAACAGYTTTTCTAGATGCATTATTAATGTAACTAAAACCCAAACCCTCAATTTATCACTCCCTGGATACTCACACTTAGAAATGTGTGTTATATCACTGTCTCTTTAGAGATGGTGTTAACTTCTGGCTTGAAAWGGAAGGTGTGGTGTTGAGAGCTGTATCTTTCTTGAGAGGACACCAAAGAAAAGTGGCTTTTTTTTCAGGACAGAAATGTGTAAGGGTCTCCCCTGATATGGGTGTAGAGGGTCATGGCCCATTTTATTCTTTACCACCAGTCAGGAGCTACAATTTGACTACTTCTGCCAAGGAGGCTGCATTAACATGATTTGACTTTTCCTCCTTCCAGTATTTTATTGATAAACATCAGTTTGAATCCCAAAATGTAGCCCATTAAAAAATCATGGATATTTTGTCCTATCATTCTTTTATCTGGCCAARCCTTAAATTTCTGCTGCCCTGAGGAAGACTTGGGTTAGGGCTCCATGCAGTGCCAGAGATGGAAGCTTTATATAGCTGGGGGTTTTCAGCAAACCATCAGAAGCTTTAGGGTTTCACTTTGCTCCTGAGAAAAACTGCTGTCAGAAGAACAGGTTCTCAGAGTCAGGCAGGCAGAAAAATTACTGATACCCCTAAGAAGCCAGGTAGGGATTGCAGTTTGGACCTGACGAGGATTTTGACATCAAGATTCCCATGAAAGCTGTGTGAAGTCAACAGAGATATTTCCACTGGCTTCTAAGGACTCTGAGGTGTACCCCACAGGATAATGGTCTCACAACCTGTGTCAGCTGAATTTGAGAGGCAGATTTGTGTTAAAGGGAAAGGGAACATCATTCCCCTTTCATCTGAGGAGGACGGAGTGCAGAATATGCAGCTGTTGGCTTATCCACAGCAGGGAGCGGCCACAGGGCAGGGACTGCCCATTGCAGGGGTCTGTGAGGGATGTGCCACCTCTCCAGCCATCTGTCCCCACGAGGGCTCACCCTGAGCAGGGTGTGATGCTGTGGAATGTTCCAGAGCCACCAGAGTGCAGGGAAAACAGCGTCAGGCTGAGAGCAGAGAGCAGAGCAGCGTTCACATGCACAACCTGTGGAGATCTGTGCCTTCAGGCAGGAATCATACAAGGTGGTTGAGATGAAACTGCAAGAAATTGCTCCTGAAAAGCTCTGCTGTCAGGTGTGAGGTTTCATTTCCAATATCCTRAACCTGCCCTGGACTGCACTTGGGGGAAGCCTCCTGCTCAACTCTGGGCCAGGATTCGCCTCCCAGAATTAGCAGCCAACGTCAGGAGTGCCAGGCAGCAAAGGGGACCCTTCTCCAAACATCTGCCCCCAGCACCCCACTGGGGGAGAAAAATATGAGCACAGGGAATTAAAGTGACAGCCCCTGTGATCTGGCATATGTCACTGCCTCTGAGGCTGATTTAACTGGGCAGCAGGTAGAAAAGACAAATATTCACTAGAGGAGTGGAGAAATGGAGGCAAGGCAGGATGAGATAAAACCTCTTCGAGAGAGTGTTTTACAATGTGGTTCCTTAGGGGGCTGGGAGGGAAGGAGAAAGTTCACCATAAATGGAAAAAGGTTCGAACTATAATTAATTTACCTTGTCTGAGCTTTTTACCACATTTCCATGCATGAGAAAAAAAATACACCAAAACTCACACGTTCTTTATTTTTTAAGTACACAAGAGATAACAGGCTCACAATAGATGAATTTAGCCATGTATTTGCTCAGTGTATAGAAGGGCTTGTGGTGGACTTCAGATGAAATTATCAACCCAGACTGAAAGAGCATTTATTGAAAAAAATGAGAAAACAGGCTGCTGCTSTCTGAACCGCCTGACTCCTGCAAATTAACAGCATAAAGGAGAGGTTTTCTAGGAAATCTGTAGGTTCCATGGCTTGCAGTGAGCCAAATGGGCATCAGGAGCAGTGACAGGAGTGACCATCTCTCTTCCCCAGGCTGCTGGTCACTCAAAGTTGATCTGGGATGTGGCAATCAACCCAGGTTCTCTCTGGCTTGTACTTTCCAAGAAGAGGTTGGGAAATCAGCCTAAATTTACCATTTCTAGCACCAGCTRTAGTAGATCCCAGCTCAGTTAGCTGTGTGGGTTCTGCAGGTAAATGTGTGCCTGCACCAAATGCAATTCGCCCTCTCACCATGGTGTCTGCAGCACCAAAAGATTCCATCAGCCTGGAGCCAGAACTCACAGAACCACTTGTAGAAACTAAAACTARTAAAATGACAGGATTCCAGTGAAGGTCTGAACTGTCCCCAGGTTCAAGGATTCTTGGGTTAAAATCTGCTAGGAAATCGAGGTTAAATTTTGCTCTTTCCCCTTTGTAGTGTTGACTACAAAGGAAAAAAAAAGACCTGGAAGGTAGCAAAGTGTATATATACTTCTGCAGCCTCAGAGCTGGTTCTAGTCCTGCATATTTTTATATAGAACTCAATAAAATGCATTTGCAAACRTAATTACAGATGCAGCAATGTCCTCTAATAATGAATTATATAAAGCATGTTATGAAATGCATTTATATCAACTTCTTGGCGAATTATACTGCCTACCATAACCAGGTGTTATAAAAGCAATTACGGGCCTGCAGGAATTACTGACACAAACGATGTACCCTTTAAATAAAATACAATTTTGGATAGCTGTAAAGGGTGCTGTAGAGGGTGGTGGGGTTATTTTGGACGTGCTGGAGCCAGCAGYACAGGAGGGGAAATTGTTCTTGGGGAGAGCAGGATGACAAATGGCGCTTCAGGTTGATCCAGCTGTCCTCGTGTGCCACAATATTTTGTCCTGTTTGGTTTGTAGTCCTGTAAATTCCCATCAAAACATGCAGCTCTTTGCTCACCTAAGTAATGAATGAAAAATAATTTAGATTCCAGTCCTGAATTACTATTGAGCATTTATGAAGTTGCTCCGGTTTGCTGGATTCCCACATGAAGGCTTTATTTGAAGCCTTTTCAGTTGAATGGAAATTTACTGTTGAATTGGGCAATCTCTGGATAAAGTCTTGGTTTAATTTTGTGAGATTATTTCTTTAGGGCAGAAGGGATGTTATTCTGAGTTATTAGGTTGTGTATTTCGCTGTGTCATGAGAAAACACAAATGGATTTCTTCTCCTACTTCCTCATCACTAAAAACWGTCTCTAGTAAAAGATAAGCAGAACCAGTACAGATAAAAAGGAAGCTCCTTCCCATTTCTTCCTGAACTGAACCTTTACCCAAAATCTTATTTTTTTTGCATGGTTCCTGTTGTTGTTCATATATTTCCTAGTTCTGCCCAGGACAGGGAGCACAGTCACAACCACACGAGTTCCCATCATCATGTTTCTTTGCTATTCATAAAAAATCTCCCCCGGTCCGTTTTCTTTTGCAATAACGGATGTTTGGGCGTTTTGAGAAAGCAAATAATGRGTGGACCATGGGTACCACATCAGTGAACTGCAGCTCAGTTAAGATTGCAGCTGCAGAAACACACCCCTCAATATATCAGATGGACATTTTTGAGGATGAAATGCTCCACAGAGGAGGCCCAAAGCCCAACCCTCTGGAACCAAGRACCTGTTTGCAAATGAGTGAGATGCCCTTTCAAGCTGCTTTCCCGCATTTTTCCCCCATGGAATCCAAGTAGATTATGGTACATGACCACTGCTATGCAGACACAAGATTGGGATGCAGCTGGGACATATGGCTATACACAGAAATTGAGATTTATTTCCATGTAAGCAGCTACCCTGATAATTTGCAAGTACATCTTTCCTCCAAGGACCTGAAAGCACTTCACAAATATTGTTGGAGGCTCAGAATGTTCYTGCACTTAAGTAAACTTGTTCTTAGAGAGGTTAAGTGATTTATTTGAGGTTTCTCAGTAAATCAGAGGGAGAGGTAGGAAGTGAAACAAGATCATSACTGCAAATGACATCCCTTAACCTTTGGAGGTGCTACTGTGTGCAAAGGCCTGACCCCACCAGCCTCACTCATGTGAGCAGAGTCTCTGAAGTTAATGGGGTGACTGGCGTGAGAAAAGGGCTGCAATATTTGCCTCTTTAGGCCTTTCTCTGTGAAGTGTTTARTATTTCCCCAGAGGTGTGTTTGGCTTCACCTCCTACAGAGTGTCTTATAGCAACAACAACAACAGAAACRGCAAAGTCAATTCCATTTTCCTCCTTTGGTGCATTGAAAGTCAGGATCCAAGGCRAGCTCTCTCTCTGGGCAGGCGCTAAGCCACGGGGACCTGAAGGCAGTTGGTGTTTCTTGGAAATGGGCTCTGACTTCTCTRCTTTTCTCCTTCACAGGGAAAGAGGAGATTTTGGGACACAGTATGGACCTGCACGTTTCTCAGCTGGTAAAAAAAGCATAGCCCGTATTTCTTCTCAGCAAAAGTTTGGCGCTACCCCAACTTCAGCAATCACAAAGACTAATATGTAAGAAAGACCGCACTAAAAATGTAATGTAAAAATATATCTTTAATAAAATGAAACCAGAATTCCCGAATTCTTTTTTTCCCTTCCTCTGAAAAAAAAAAAAAAAAATCATGGCCACAAGCCACTCTTTTCCCTATTTAAGTGCTTCTTATTCCACTTCTTTAACAGGCTTGAAAYGAATGAAGAGGTAGCAGAGGAGAGAGTGACACAGGCAGTAAATTATGTAAGTTCTATAAAAGCGTGGCAGTGGCAAGCAGGTTTCGATGCTGATGCAGCCGGCAGAGATTTCTGCCATGAGGGAGGAAARGAGAGAACCTGCAGCATCAGAGCAGGAACGGGCTCACTCCAGAGCCTGCTCCAGCCTGCAGAGAGGGGAGCCTGCCACATCCAGGAAAGGGGAAACCACTCCTRAAACCTGCACAAGTGACAGTTCCCTGCGACAAAAGGGAAAAGAGATCATTAACTGCGAGCGAGGGGAGTTTGTGCAGAAGAGAAGCGGGGGGGACGCTCTTTAACTGYGGAGTTTTTAAAAGTGCCCTTGTTTGTTTTCTTGGCAGAGGAGMGGAGCGTTTGGCACCCATCCTTGGAAGGTGGCCCAGCTGTACAAACGCTGGGGTTGGCCCTTTSCTCGCTGTTGCTAAGCTGATGGCCCAATAGCCGCCGGGGCTCTCCGCACCCCACCCGCGCTCCGGCCGCATCCAGCCTCCGGCCCGCCCGCCTTAAAAAGCTGCTTTTCTCCCACTTGCTAATAATAATAATTCAAAAAAAAAAAAAAAAAATCCTGCATTTGTAAAGTACAAAGCACTGCATTTAAAACTTAAAGGACAAGAAGACATAAAAAAAAAAAAAAAAAAAAAAAAAAAAAAAAAGTAAAAAAAGTGGCGAGTTTCTGCAAGCAAACCCTCCCCGGCTGTTGGCAAGAGCTGAGCAGAGGGGAGCTGGGGAGCACCAGCCCATGCCCACTCCCGCTGGGATGGATGGGGCTCAGCGCTGGGCTCCGGTCGGACTCGTTCTGCACTCCCTCCCTCTGCTCCCACAGCCTCAAGGTATAGGGCAGAAACAAAGGGATTTTTTTCTCTCCCCCCCTTTTCCTCCTTTTTTCTTTTTTAATAACTTTATCAACTGCGAACCCCAGGATGATTTGTGTGTTTCATGCTCTCTCTGTGCTTTTACTCTGGGTTAGAACTTGGATTCTTTCCATTTCTCAGTTAAAAACTTTTTCTTTTTCTTTTCCTTTTTTTCTTTTCCTTTTTCTTTTTTTTTTCTTTTTCTTTTTTTCTTTTTCTTTTCTTTTTCTTTTATTTTTT